CGATTAGGAGCCAGCAGTCCCAGATTGTGAGAGGGATCTCTGACTGCTGGTCCCAGATTGGAGAGTTTGCAGGCTGGGCTGAGGGACACACACACACACTGTGCACAAATTTCATGCACTAGGCCTCTGGTGTTTTAATAACCATCTTTTAATACCTCGAAAGGGAGCAATATTGCAAGGTTTTTGGAAGAGTGAGTGCTAGAGTCAGACTGCTTAGGGTCAAATTCTGGCCCTAATATTTACTAGCAGTACAATTTAAATTACTTAATCTGGCCCATGCCTCGGTTTTTCATTGTGTAAAATAGCAAAGGTAATATAACTATGTCAGGAAAGTTGTAAGGACTAAAGCTAAAGCAAGTCAAGTCTTAGCACAGTTTTTGAAACCTTGCTTTATACAAGGACCCTATTAGGAATGCTTCCTGTGGGAATACTAAATAATGATTTACTGTTTCTTACTGTGAAGTGAATTGTTCTTTTCTCATCTTTGCACATGATACAAATCATTTTTGCCAAATTTTAATGTTATGAACATGCTTTTACTTTTTACTTGATGCTAATGCTCTATAAATGGATCAAAAATATCTCACAACAGAATTCTGCTCTTACAGACTACCCTGTTAGAGACAATTTTAGACTTATTTAGACTAGAAGAAGTATAGAAGTCTGAAGTGTTTTACCTACCTAACAAGTGCTTAACCATTCAGTAACATTTAAAATATATTTTGAACATGAGTGTCTTTGTAATTAGTTTTTTGTTAATGACTTCAACAAATGCAAGCAGGATCCCATACATCAACTCAATATAATCTGTTTTGTTTGTTCGTTGTTGTTGTTATTGTTGTTTTTCATTTTCTCTGTTAAGTGGGCTGGAGCTTGACAGGTTTTCGGGTATCTTTTCTGTGTTCCAGAAATTGACCTCAGACTCCCCACTACTGACAGACTGCCAAAGTGACTTGGAGAAACTTAGTGAAGTTCATCATTTGAGTTTCAATGGAGCAATTCAAAGCTGCTGAAGAAACTACTATTATGTGTGCCCCATGTATTCTCTCAATCCTTGTAGTATTCCTGTGAAGCAGGTGGTTTTACTCCCTTTTACAGAGAAGACTGAGGCCTGGAGAAATTAATTTGGTCAAGATCTCACATAGGGTAAATGGTAGAAACAATATTCAATAAGTTAATCTGTTCAAAAACCCATGCTCTTTTCACTGTGTCCTCTTGTCTCTCAAAAGGAAGTACAGTGGGCCCTAACCAGTTTGACTCAGTGGATAGAGTGTCGGCCTGCGGACTGAAGGGTCCCAGTTTTGATTCCGGTCAAGGGCATGTGTACCTTGATTGCGATGCGGACACATCCCCAGTAGGGGGTATGCAAGAGGCAACTGATCGATGTTTCTAAACTCTCTATCCCTTCCCCTTCCTCTCTGTAAAAATCAATATTATATATGTATATGGAAGTACAGTAGACCCTCGGTTCTCAAACTTATTTCATTCTGGAAGTCTGTTCAAGAACCAAATCATTGTTTCCCATTAGAAGTAATGTGAATTGAATTAATCTGTTCTAGACACCCAAATGATTCCTTGTTTTAGCCTTTTAAAAAAATATATTTATTTCAGAGAGGTGAGAGGGAGAAAGAGATAGAAACATCAATGATGAGAGAGAATCATTGATCATCTGCCTCCTGCACATCCCCTCCTGGGGCTCAAGCCCACAACCCAAGCATGTGCCCCTGACTAGAATCGAACCTGGGACCCTTCAGTCCACAGGTCAACACTCTATCCACTGAGCCAATCTAGCTAGGGTTAGCCTTTCTTATATACAGTGCATGTCTAATGTACTATTTAATCTATAAATAAACACTTTAAAAACAAAAAGGACATGAAATGTAAATGAAAATTTAGTAAGAAAAAAATACATTAATTTTTTTTTAAAAAATTAAAATTTAATAATAATCAGCAGCAGAAGCATAAAAACACGAAAATATTCACAGCACACTTTCCTGGGATGTTAACAGCACAATATTTAGCGGTAAACTGACTCAGACTCTCCTTTGTTGCCCGAGAGACACGGGACTGTGCATACAAGTATCAGCATAAAAGGGTTGTCAGGTTGAGAGGCGAATTGTTGAAGATGGGAGATGTTCGAGAACTGAGGTTTGACTGTAATTGCTCTTTGTAGTTTGTACACAGCCATATGTAAAGCCCCACCAGAAGCAATCTAGAATATTTCTATGTGTGTCAACAATTGGCCGATAACTTAGATACTATGAATCAACAGCCAAAAAGTGCTCTTTATGGAACCAGTTACATACAGACAATAAATGTGGCTCCCTATTCTGTTTATTTGTTTTTGTTTGTTTAGAGAGGCATCTAAAAATTTGGTCAGATTTTTCAAAATAAGGGATATGGAGAAGGCAGATTTTTTTTCTTCCCGTTTCTACTTTACATGGGGCTTACGTTTTTTTTAAATTTTATTTCCTCTTACCTCTGTGCCGCTATAGCAGGTGAATTTTCCCCCATATTGGCATTTAGAATATATGCCACATGGATATTTGAGCCCCCTTCAAGATTTTTGTTTTTTCTATTTTTGTTGTTGTTGTTTTTTTTTTTTCATTATACTTGTATTATTGTAGCTATACTTTGTGTGGAATTTCTTTTTTAAAAATCTGAGTACTTGGTCCTAGTCATCTGGATAAACATGATTTTGTTACATAGTAGTATAAGATTTTCAGAGAAACCAAAATTAGGAATAAAAAAAATTATCATTTCTGGAAATTGTCCTTTGTTAATATGAAATTATTTTGTCCAGGCACAGCAGTTAAATGGGCATGCATCATTTTATACAGCTATCTTTGTAAAAATGCACCTCAATCCCCCCTAAACTAGAATTATGTTTTATTCATTTTCATATCTCTAATCCCTGGTACATAGTAGGTATCCCATAAATGTTTGTTGAATATAGGGGTTTATTTTCTGTTTAATTGTAAAAGTAATTTTTATCACACTCATGTTTTGATTAAAGGTGAAGGATTCCTCTGCTAAACATGGATTACTCAGTGTGGCATGTGAAGAGCATGGTAGTAGGACTCAATGCTTTTGTTTGTTTTGCCCCTAAATATATGACTTTGGGGATAGTCACTTAATCTCTTGCCACCTGAGTTTTTAACTATAAACAGAATCTGTATGGTAAGATTATCTTGAAGGTGCCTTTCAACACAAAGTTGTATCATCTGTGATCATTGCATTTTAACAAAAAAATTAAGAATGGCATACTGATATTACTCATTTAAAAGTGTTTCTTACTGCACAACCCTAAAATACACTAAGCAGCTATAATGGAATGTTTTGTGGTGAATATCAAACTGTTTCTATTTGAAGAAAATGTGGCAGGGATGTATGAAAATAATTGGTGAAAAATTACTTTTAAAAATTATTATTCCTGGAATAGTCTGTTTAAGAATAAAATATTGCTACAATAGAAAAATTAGCTGGGAACAAAACTGGTTTGCTCTCTTCAAAAGCACTGTACAGCCGAAACTGGTTTGGCTCAGTGGATAAAGCGGCAGCCTGTGGACTAAAAGGTCCCAGGTTTGATTCCGGTCAAGGGCATGTACCTCGGTTGCGGGCACATCCTCAGTAGGGGGTGTGTAGGAGGCAGCTGATAGATGTCTCTCTCTCATCAATGTTTCTAATTTTCTATCTCTCTCCCTTCCTCTCTGCAAAAAAGTAAATAAAAAATATTTTTTTTAAAAACGCACTGTACAGGTCTAATTTGTAAAAAACTGTATACATACTACAAATCAAATTAAGACAACAATGAGATATATTTTGTCTATCAAATTTGTGAAATTTTAAACTCATTTTTAGCAGGGATACTAAGAAACATGCACTCAGAAAAGTAGGAGTGTAAATTGATACAACTGTTATGGAGGGCAATCTGAAAGTCTCTCAAAATGCTGAACATTTGGCCTGCAGTTCTACTTCAAGTGAAATTTATCTTAAAGAAATTTATCATGGGAGAGTACAAAATTTTGTTTACAGAAATGCTTATTATTGTCATACTAGAGGCCCAGTGCATGAAAATCGTGCAAGAGTAGGTCTTCCTTCCCCTGGCTGCTGGCACAGGCTTCCCTCTGCCATCTGGACCTGGGCTTCCCTCCAGTCCTGGCTTAGTCCAGAAGGACTTCTGGAATGACGTCCAGTCTAATTAGCATAGTACCCTTTTATTATTATAGTTATATGGTGGAGCAAAAGTAGGTTTACAACTGTGAGTACATGAAATAGTTTATTGTTACATTAGTATTTTATTAATTACTAGAGGCCCGGTGCATGAAAATTCATGCACTGGAGGGGGTGGACCCTCAGCCCGGCCTGCCCCCTCTCACAGTCTGGGAGCCCTCAGGGGCAGGAAGCCACCTGGTGATCAGGGGAAGGCAACACCCTCATCACCCCTCTGCTGCTGCCACTGCTGGAGCTTAAGCCTCACACCCTGGGAACCTGGGGGGCTGAGGGGACTGGGGGACTCCAGAGGCTGTGCCGCGCACTTGCCACCCCAGTGGGGCTGAGGTGACTGGGAGCCGCAATCTTGTGGCTGTGGGCACCACCATCTTTGAGGGCATGGCAGTCAATTAGCATATTCTCTCCTTATTGGCTGTGGGCACCACCATCTTTGTGAGAGTGTGATGGGCAATTAGCATATTCCCTCTTTATTAGATAGGATTGTATTATTTTTCATATGAACAACTGTAAACCTACATTTGCCCCCACCCTGTATATATCTGGGAAGACAAAAAGTACTCAAATCTCTATGTGGTAAGATTATGGGTCAGTTTAATTTTCTTCTCTTTTTTTGTGAATTTACATTTTTCTATATGCACAGGGACTTGTTTCAACCACAAAATACATACATGTTTTTAAAAATGTGAAGTTGTCTTTAATAAGTATATAGAAGTATTTTCTTTCTCACCTGCACTATTCAATGCCACCTTGCTTTTATTTCTGAACAGGTCTTCAGAAAAGGTTGGAATTTCAACATTAAAGGTAAGTTATACTTTCTGAAAGTTATGTTTCTACAAATAATGTGCACTTTCCATTCATTTTTCTCTATGTTATTCTTCATTTTCTTGCTTTTGCTTTCTGTTTATTATTTTTTGCTAAGTAATATTGTCTTTGTGATTAGATAGTAAAATAACTAATTATATATTGTGTTATATGGAAGGACTATAAGTATTTTTTAGATTTCTAATTTTATTTGGTTTATACTTTTTAGAATAAAACACTATAAAATACTTGTATTTGTGTGTGTGTGTGTGTGTGTGTGTGTGTGTGTGTTTTATTTGCAAAAGTAATACTTGCATGGCAAAAATGTGTAGTAACCAAAACACTTGTATACTGCTTATGGGCATCTATATTATCATCACTACCATACATAAAAATCAATCCCGGCCTTATATCTAAGCGAAAAGTTTGGTATAATGTCATTATATCACTGAGAGCCATTTTAAGTACAGGAATATCACCAAATACATCTTCCTTGATTTTGATATTTTATATCAAATGGGATATGTATGTGTGTGTTGTGTTTGTCTAGACATATGTATCTATAATCTCAAACATGCTTTATTTTTTCCACTTCCAGTGCCCCTACCTTCTTTTATTCTTTTTATACACATCAGTCTCTTTGATAAATAGTGGTATATTTATATAGAATATTCTACAGCAATGGATATGAATGAGTTTGTTTTATACAATAACATGGATGAATTTTAGCACCATAGTGTTAAATGGGGGGTGGGGGTGGAAACAATTCACAGAAAAATAAATGCAATCAGAATCCATTTATATTCAGTTCAAAACCATGCAAAATTAAATAATATATTGTTTAGAATTACAAGCATAGTAAGAATAGCAGGAGAATGATAAACACAAAATTTAGGATATCGGACATCTCTAAGAGGCAACAAATGTAATGGAAATGGAAAACTATATACAAGAGACTTGAAAACTAATAGTAACAATGTTCTTTTTCTTAAATTGAGTGCTTAAGAAAGGTTACATTGTAATTCTTTATTCCTTATATTTTATAAAAATTCTTTTTTTAAGTAGTATATTAGGTCTAGTAATATTAGGTCTAGTAATAATTAGGTCTAGTAATATTAGGTCTAGTAGTATCGATACATACATATTTAAAATTTTCTCAGTGCAAAAGTAGATAAACAAAAATGTAACTCCCATCCCATTCCTCATCTTCTCAATCCCCATATCCAGAGATCATTGCTCTTTATTAAGCTTCCTAGAGGTCTGATGCAAAAAATTCATGCAAAGGGCTCAGCCCTTGCAACCCCAGCTTTGTCCAGAAGGATGTTCGGAAGATCGTTTGGCTGTCCAGTCTGATTAGCACATTACACTTTTATTATTATAGACTAGTGGCTCGGTTTGTCCCTCAGCCCAGCCTGCATCCTCTCTAATCTGGGACCCCTCGAAGGATGCCCGACTGCTGTTTACAGGGATCGGGCCTTAACCGGTAGTAGAACATTCCTCTCTCAATCTGGGTCTGCTGGCTCCTAACTGCGCACCTGCCTGCCTGATTGCCCCTAACCACTCTGCCACTGGCCTGCTCATCCCCAACTGCCCCATGCCACCATCCTGCTTGCCCCCAACTTCCCCTTGTGCCAGTGTGCTTGCCCGCAATTGCCCCTTGCCAGCCTGTTTATCCCCAACTGACCCCCTGCTGGCCTGCTCACTCCAAACTGCCTCCCCTGCTATCCTGATCACCTCCAACTGACCCCACTGATGTCCTGCTTGCCTCCAACTGGCCCTCCTGCTGGTCTGCTTACCCCCAATGGCCCCAACCCCACCAGCCTGATCACTCACAACTGCCATCCCATCCTGGCCTGATCACCACAATTGCCCTTCCCTCTTGGCTTCTAACTGCCTCTATCTTAGCCCCGCCACCATGGCTTTATCCAGAAGAACTTCTGAAAGGTCTCCCAGTCTAATTAGCATATTATCCTTTTATTAGTATAGATAGAGGCCTGATGCACGGGTGGGAGCCGGTTGGTTTGCCCTGAAGGGTGTCCTGGATCAGGGTGGGGGTTCCTTTGAGGTGTGGGGCGGCCTGGGTGAGGGGCTGAGGACTGTTTTCAGGCTGGTCATTCTCCCCAGTGGGGACCTTCACCCCATGGGGCTATGGCCAGCCTAGGTGAGGGGCTGAGGGCTGTTTGCAGGCTGGCCAAGTCCCCTTCAGGGTGAGGGTCCCCCTGGGGTGCCTGTCCAGCTGAGGTGAGGGCTGAGGGCTGTTTGCAGGCTGGCCAAGCCCCCCTGTGGGGACCCTCACCTTATGGGAGTGTGACTAGCTGCGTGAGGAGCTGAGGGTTTTTTTCAGGCTGGCCACACCCCCTGGTAATCCAGGCCCCAGCCCCTCCGTTTTTTCTTTTTTAATGCCAGGATCAGCTGAAAGCAAGTATCTGGGATTTATTTATCTTCTATAATTGAAACTTTGTAGCTTTGAGTGGAGGCCAGGGCAGGTGGGAAGCTTGGCTTCCACCATCACCAGGGTAAGCCAAGCCTCCTGCTCACTCCAGCTCCTTGGCTGCCACCATCTCTGCTGGGTTAATTTGCATAGTCACTTCTGATTGGCTGATGGGTGTAGCAGCGGTATGGTCAATTTGCATGTTTCTCTTTTATTAGTGTAGATAGGTTTTTGTTGTTGTTTTATTAAAATATATTTTATTGAGTTTTTATAGAGAGGAAGAGAGGGATAGAAAGCTAGAAACATCGATGAGAGAGAAACATCAATCAGCTGCCTCTTGCACACCCCCTACTGGGGATGTGCCAGCAACCAATGTACATGTCCTTGACCTGAATGGAACCTGGGACCTTTTAGTCCGCAGGCCGATGCTCTATCTACTGAGACAAACCAGTTTTGGCTAGATAGGTTTTAAAAGCCACTTTAGCTCTGAGATATTTTTAGGTGAAATAGGTTTTGGGAATTTACTTTATCTCTGTAATTATAGATTGTCCTTAACTTAAATAAAATTAGATAAACAACATATTTAGTAGCTAAATATGAATTTGGATTTTGTTATTTTTTACTTTTCATTTTGAAATAATTGTAGTAATAGGAAGCTGCAAAGACAGTACAGAGAAAATACTGTGTATCCTTAACCCATTTCCCCAGTGCTTATATTTTATTTAGAGCTCAGTATCAAAGCCAGGAATTTGACAATGTGAGTATATAGTTCTATTTCAGTTTATTACATGTGTATATTTGTGTAACCGCCACCATACTTCGGATGTAGATCTGCTTCATCACCACAAAGATCTTCCTGTGCTATCCCTTTATAAAGTCACACCTGTCACCTTTCCCACATCATCTATGACCCTAGGCAGCCACTAATCTGTTTTCCATCTCTGTAATTTTGTCATTTGAGAATGTCCTGTTTATAGAATGATATAGTGTGTGACCTTTTTAAATATATATCTATGTTTTCATTGATTTTTTTTTTTTTTTGGAGAGAGGAAGGAATAGGGGATAGAGAGATAGAAACATTGATGAGAGAGAAACATCACCTGCCTCCTGCATGTCCCACACACAGGATTAAGCCTGAAACCCAGACATGTACCTTGACTGGGAATCAAACCAGTGACCTCCTGGTTCCTGGGTTGATGCTTAACCACTGACTGATCCACACTGGCAGGGCATGTGTGACCTTTTGAGATTGGCTGAAAAGATTGAGATTCATCCAAGGTGTTACATGTATCAATGGTTTGTTCTTTTTCCTTGTAAAGTAGTATTCTATGGCATGGATGTACTCAAGACTATTGAGTACATATTATGTACACATAGCATATTGATTGATAGCTTAAGCAAACGAAGAAAAATTTGATGTAGTATCAATATTTTATTATTTTATAATCTTACAGAAGAATATGTATGTGAAGAGATGACATATAAGGTGTTGATGTTTATAAAATAGAATAGACCCAAAGTGCTACATGGAGTTTGGAGGAGGAAGGGAGAGACAGGGTGATTGTGACAGCACTGTTACCTGGAATAGCAGAGAAAAGTTTTAGGAAGAAGGTAGAACTTGTGTTGGGCTTTGAAAATTGAGAGAGATTTGCATAGGTGATATAGAAAAATTGAGAAAGCATTGTTTGTTAGACAATAGTATGAACTAATTAATATGCAAAGATAGAATTTGCTGGGAGCATTAAAAGCCTGGTGTGACCATGTAAATATTTCGGTTATAGAATGCTGGAAAAGAAAATTGGGGCCAGACTTTTAAATGTCAGCTTAAAACTCTTGGCTTTAAAATTTAAAAAAAAAAAAAAAGACATTTAAAACATCAATTTTTACATGTCTTACAGTTGTGTTCTCCAAGGTTTTTTTGTTTATTGTTTGTTTTGTTGTTGTTAATCCTCACTGGAGGATATTCTTCTATTGATTTTTAGAGATTAGAAGCAAAGGAGGGAGGAGAGAGAGATCCATCCATTGGTTGCCTCTTGCACCCACCCTGACCAGGGCTGGGGGTTGAACCCACAACTCAGGTAGGTGCCTTTGACTTGGAATTGAACCCACAAACCTTCGGTGCATGGGCAAATGCTTTAACCACTCAACATACCAGCCAGAGCTCTCCAACGTTTTTTGCTGAGGAATTAACAAAAGATACATGGTATCGATAGAAGGGTAGAAGAATATTTGGAGAAAAGAGACTAAGTGCAGAGAGAGAGTTGTTTAAGAGGCAGTTAGAATGTCAAGACATAAGAGCAACAAAGAGACATTATTGATAGGATTGGATGGATGACTATGACAGCTATTTAAGAATTGTTTCCTGTTGTATGTTTTTTTTTTAGTGTAGATCACTTTTGTACAAATGATTTGTGAAACTGATTTAGTCTTTTATTGAATATGCTTGTTAAAATTTAAAAGCTCAAATGTTATAACTCAGTAATGTAAGGAGCATACAATCAGCACTCTGATATCCAACACAAATAGATGTGGTGTGAATTGCTAGCAATTGAATGATCTGCCACACTTT